AGAGAGAGAGAGAGAGAGAGAGAGAGAGAGAGAGAGAGAGAGAGAGAGAGAGAGTAAAAGAATTAGTTGCCTATGCTCTCACAACCCCCCCCCCCCTCTCTGCCCCCAACACCTTTACCCGCGGCCCCACCCTATTCCTTGACCGAAGCCGATGAGGGAGGTGGGCAGCATGCATTCCCTTGTGAGAGGTAGCCGTTCTTGCAGGGGTCCCCACCATAGGCTTAGGAGTCGTCGTAGGAGATACTAGGTAGTGAGAAGTGAAGCTGATAGAATTTTGACCAATTTTGACCATCGTTGCTTGGTTTGTGACCGTGATGGCTTGTCTTGTGCAGTGATGGCGAGTGTGGGTTCGTGGTGGCTGTACCGGTACCGCAGGGGCCCTATGCCTCCAGGTGGCCACCTTGTTGAGCGTATGATGGACCGCCTCAGGAATGCGGCTAGTAGGACCAAGAGCACCTTGAAAAGCACACGAGATGGAGTTTATCAGGTGGCGTCTGCGCGTCTGATCGAGCCCGAACTGTGACAGGAAGAACCGATGCCTCAATCAGTCTGTTGTCGGAGACTAAGTTCTGTACCATGCAGAATGGAAATAATACGGCTCATGAAAAGCGACTGGAGATGTTCGACTCATAAAAAGCGACAGGAGAAAGTGAAACCGAAGTAGGACATGCCTTTCCTGGCCGTGTGGCTAAAGATCAAGTGAGTATCATTGTGATCAGTTCAATATCTGATCCGTGGTTGGATCACACGCAACAGAAAAACAAAAACGAAGGAGGTTTCACTTCTGGCAGACAGCCTTTTTTCCTCCTGATGCGAGTGTCCCGGTGCTATTTTTGGCACACTGGTCACACAGCCTTCGATCTCAGGGATGCGAGTGATTCTCGATCACGGCTGTGTGGCCGTTGTTGGAGGAGAATCTTCCCAGTACCGGTCAGCATGTCGGTTGGATGGCATTGGTATGATAGTACGCGTTATCAATAGAGAAAGGGAAAATTACAAACGGAAGGTGTAGGGAAAATTATAAGCGGAGGTTTCACGGAGGTTTAGGGAAAATTACAAACGGAAGGTGTACTTTTTTTTTTGTTGTTGACGCACAGGGCCATGCTAATGTTCTCTGTATCGTTCCAATTCAACGGATGTCCCCTGGATGAAGGTGTGCGGTGTTGTTTGGCAAACAGTTTTTTTCATTAATGCAGTTTCTGGTTCTATTTTTTGGCAAACAGTCCACACAGCTCTCGATCAGGAAGGGAATGGCTGTTTACTTCAGGCTTTACTTCTAGCAAATAGCCTTTGTCGAAATTTCTCCTGATGTGCGTGTTGTTTTACTGTTGGGCTTATTTCTTTGTTTGTATTGAAGCCCTGGGCGGCGATGGGCGCTGGGCCCGATTGTGTGTGTGTGTGTGTGTGTGTGTGTGTGTGTGTGTGTGTGTGTGTGTGTGTGTGTGTG